CCAAATTTCATGGCACTCTACTGAGCATTAATCAGATTGAATTGCAGCAAAGAGAATTTCAAAATAATGTATCAAGAGACAATTTCGAAAGCCTGCAAAACGTCAACCAAACCATCAACAACATTACTGCCTTATTGCAAAGAACGATGTCGGACTTCTCCAGCCTTTCCTCTAAGTACAACCAAGAGGTACACGCTATAAACAGCAATATTTCCAAGATGTCAGGATCAGGTATTTAAATTCTCTCTCTCTCTCTCTCTCTCTCTCTCTCTCTCTCTCTCTCTCTCTCTCTCTCTCTCTCCTCTCTCTCTCTCATTTTTGCACATTCCTTTACTAAATTTCTTTTTTTCTTTCAGTACAAGACTTACAAAGACAGGTATCTTTCTTCGCAAAATTATCTAGCAGTGTCCGAATTTCAGCAGCTCACCAAACCGTCGTGTATGATACGGTTATTACAAATAACGATAATGGATACAACCCAAAGAATGGAATCTTCACTTGTCCTCAGTCAGGAACTTATGTGTTTTTGTGGAACACTCTGATTATGTATCACATATATCAGACTGGAGATCGTAGTGTCCGGAACAGCTTTATATGGTTTTTTGGAGGATACACAAGATGCGAATGACTATGACACTGCAACTGCTTCTATAATTGTTAAAGTTGATGTTGGCGATACAGTGTTCATTCGTTCCCGAGGCAGCGGTCCTGGACCTATGGTCACCGAATCCAGTGTCATAACCTCCTCATTTTCTGGATACCGAATTTAAAGAATGATAACTCTGATAGCTAAAATTAAGTCTTTAACGATTAATTATATATTACGTGAGCCGTGGTGTATTTTCTTTATTCGTTATGTATACGTAGTCAAATTAAAATTGATGGATCAAATGTTGATCATATGTGGTGACGGTGGCCTAATTATCTGTATATTACATTTGTTGAGTTATGGTGTGTCTTTTAAAACATATACACATTAATAAGAACAATAAGAAATGCACTTAATCTTTATTCTGTTACAATAGTATACCTAGTTGCAAATTAAAATTGAAAAAAGGTAAAACGTCAAATATTTGTAAATCATATGTGGTGATGGTGGCCTTAATTAAATGAACATATGTCATAAACATTTCTTGGATATTGTATTTATGACTAATATATGAATTTTGTTGTTAATATATATATTTTTTCAAAAAATTTCAGTTCATTCTTTTCTGATTTTCATTAAAAGTTGACAATGATCGTTCGCTGACTTTGGAAAACATCACAACTAATTCATTATTGTGTCGTTTACAAAGAAAAATACTTTCTTTTACTGTATAAATTTTTTAAATCGATATTAGTTTCCATTAATTTATTTTTGATACTTGTCAAATTAAAATTTGCCTTCAAAACATATGTGGCGGTGGTGAACCAATGTAAATGCTTTATCCACTTTCAAAATGTTCATTACATCATAAACATTTTTAAAAAATGTAAGATGGAGAGGGAGAATGACCGAATTGAATGTTTTTGTTGACAATATATGAATAGTTAAAGTATTCTTTTCAGAAAAAAAAAAAACCCTAAAAACAAAAAATTATTGTTCAGCTTTTAAAAAAATCTTATATTTTCTTCAAATAAATATTGTAATTAATATACTTCAATAAACCGTATAAGTGCACCTATGTGCTTTACGCATAGATCTATGAAAGTGAAAATTATTTTTCTGATTTAAGTCTTTTAATTGACGTTTCCATTTTTTTTTAAACAGGTTGTTATGAGGCAAAAGAGAACTGTTGATTCAATAGTGGTTGAGTGCATTTTAGTACCAAAGATAGCTTGCAATCACGATTGAAATAATTTTCACTTTGAAATAAAGATTTCAATGATTGAAATATAGATTTTAAAGGTGATTGAAATATTGATTTCTATAGTGCTTTGAACAATGATTCCAAAAGATATTAAAATGTTATTTTAATAGTCGCAATAAATTTCAATACCAAATCCACAATGCAAACTTTTAAAATATAAGATGAATTACACGTTCTGTTTTCCAACACATTAAACAAATTTATTGAGTTTAAAATATGATAGCAATGTTTTCCTTTTTGTAATATCACAGACACTTATTTATTTTGACTTTTGTCTTAAAATGTTATAAGCAAGCCCCCGCTTTGATTGCAATCAATTTATAAAATATGCAGTTTAAATAATTTTTATATAAAGTACATTTTTGTTATTGATCTTGAAGCATAAATATATCACACCGCTATATAATTTTGTGTACACTTTCAAATTCTTCAAATTATCCGATATACCTTTAAAACCTCTTAAGATCTCTCTAAATCAATGAAAAAATTAAAATCCCTTTTCAACCTAAAAATCCACTTCCTTATTTAAAATTGCCTAAACATTATTTCTAAATTTAACACAATAAGTCTTGTAATGTTGTTTAAGTATTGGGTAAATCTGTATCAAAATATTATTTAAATCACTTTTGAAATCATTATTTCAATCGCTATTGAAAACTTTATGTATAATATTTTTTAATAGTGGTTGAAACTTGTTTATGTTTTGAAATGCAATCAGAACCACTACTGAGATCTTTATTTCAAAAGTGAACATTGTTTCAATAGTGGTTGCAAATTTAGGGCAAAAGTAATTATTTCAAATCATTTCATAGTGGTTACAACCTGTTTCTTATAGAAATGCACTCTCAAACTAAAATAATTATTTCAATAGAATTTCAACAACCTATATTTGTTATTAAAGATTTTATATTTATTTCAATAGTGGTCATTATTTCAATAGTGTTTGCAACATTTGTCGCCGGATTTAAATTAAAAGATTCCTTAATGGATTAAAATGTTATTTACATTTGACTACAACATTGTCTATAGACAAATATGCCCTACGCTATTAAACCCCCCAAAATAAATCATTTTAAGCATTTTATTATAATTACATATATTGTACTCATATACTTTATGCAGGTATTAAAAATCATACAACAAAAAAAATATTTATAAGAATAAATCAGATTTTGGTCCCTTACTGTACATATCTGTTTTGTTTAAAGAACATTTTATCACTTCTTTCCAAGTTTTCATTCAGAGTTGTAATCTTAGAAAGAGATTGTGATAAGAGTTATCTTACTTTGATAATGACTGTAGTGACGTTGATAATGACTGTATATATACTGACACGCAAAAGAAACGCAACACCCTACTTTAGAAAATAATTATGTAAAGTAAAAAATTTGTATCAAAATTATGCACATTTGGTAAACATCCGAACGATTTCCATACCATAACCGGAAGTCAAAAGTTTCCAAAACATTTGGCAATGGAGTTTTATTAAAATGTAATTTAGCAATATTTCAAAAAATAAACTCTCCTTCCTTTTCCCGTAGCGATGCTAAGGTTACTTGAAAATGGCCTATGTACGCATTTCCATTGCTCTGGCTGGAAAATTTCAATATATGGAGAGTTGCAAAGTTTCACACATTACGCCTATGCGTGTGTGAAAAATCATAAAGATTATACGAATTGTAAATATATACTCTGTTCATTGTATTGTTACTTTGACCTGTTATATAGAGAGGGTATTTATAGGCTTAAGCCTGTTGCCCAATCTATTCAGTTTACTGAATAAATATTGTTTAAAGTTAAAAAAAAAAACAGGGTCTAACGTATCATATGCATTAAAGACAGTCCTTGTACCGGAAGTCCAGGGGTGGCTACACTGCTCTAAGTTAGAGAAAATTCGACCTAATCATCTGAAAAACGGGAATTTAAAAATGTCAAAGAATTATTCCTTCGCTCAGATCTCGATATTAATGAACCTATTGTATCGTAGAAGTTAAGCTGCAATCGTTATTTAGGGCAGTCTTGCATGTTTTACTTGAATGGCTGGAAGGGGGGTGTTTTAACAGTCATATTTTACTTAGTAAAGTAAACAGATAAACATTTAACATTTTTATAAAATCTCTGATGTTCTGCAAAATGAGTTTAGCCATACTTTATTCGCTTTTGAAAATCATAAGATAAAAAAATCAAACATTTGTAGATTACTGCTTGTTGCGTTTCTTTTGCGTGTCAGTATATGTCTTCTTTATTTTGTATTTTATTTTCTGATAATTTATTCCGCATATGCACCTCGTGTTTTTCAATGATAAAGGACACACAGAAAATACCGAATGACACGCCGAGAAAAATATAACGAGTTGAATGAAATCAAGCTGATGAAATTTAACTATTCTTTCTAAAAAAGGATCGAAAAGAATAGTGTAATTGATGTCATAATAATCTAAGGAAATTTTACATTTGAAAAAGAATCCGATCTAATTTAAATTTGATTTAATGAAGTTTTCTTTTTTTATTTGAAAAGTGCATGAATTTGATATCAAATATTGTCGTAACTGTAAATACCCCATGTTTAGTTACTTTACCTAAAATAATCGTATTTAAAAGGACAAGATGAAAAGAATAAGATTTTTATTTCTGATTTATAGAAATCATATGCCATAGTTTGATACAGAAGATCGTAAATTTGTCGTGGTTAAGGTCACCTTTCTATAGACGTTTATTTGTCAATGCACATTTTGACATAAGTGACAAGCTCTTCGTATACAAGAAAGGAATAACACAGTATCACACGATAGCAATGTTTGCCTTTTCCATGTTTACACAAATTTCTTTGTCGTTTTTAAAAGTTAGAGAAGCGCTTTATCAAAATTCTGCAAATATATGACTGTCCTGACAATTGTGTACTGAAGTCAGTTTTTAAAATACAATAACATGAATAACATGGAATAACATGAAAGCAAATAACTCGACTCGAGTAATAATAAAGGAATAAAAAAAATAATTTTAAAAAAAAACTCCAATAACAACAATATTTCTTAAGATTCATAAATAACAAAAGTCAGCACACTAATTTTTTAGGAGATTGTGTATAAGCAGGAGTCCTACGTCATCCTGTGACGTGTACCTTTATATCGCTTAGTCAGGCATTTTGCTCTGATTTTCAGAACATTCACATAAGATGAAAGGACACTGAATGTCAACGTGCATTTTGTCCACCATGATAATTCTGTATTCATAATAAAAGTAAGTATTGTTATGGATCTTTAATCTTTTCATTTTATAAGAAATAAAATTCTCTAAATAAATAATTTAAGAAGAAGTAATCATTTGAAAATCTAATTTGACTAAAATCGTATCCTACAATTTTATTTCTGTTTCCAGCTTACATGTTATAGTTGCTGTCAAATTAAACTTAAATAGTGTGACAGTTTGTCAGCAAACTTCCAAAATGGAAAATACCAAGAAACAGTGTGAACATGAATATGATACGCCAGTATGTGTGAAATGTATTTTGTCCAGCAATTGGAGAGATTCCCAGCTAGAACTTTTGTCGGACATTTGTGATTCACTTGGTGGCACAAAGAAAGAAAAAATACGTGCAGATCTGCTGGATTTAGAAGAAAACATTGGACCCGAGTATGACTCAAATCTCGGTGAAGTTGAAGCTTTGCTATCAAAAGTCATCAAACAACACAAAGATAGAAAAAATGTTATCTTAGAATTAGGGGACGAATTACATAAGGTTGTCGACCTTGTCATCAACAAATATCTGTCCGAAGCGGGAAAGATGGAAAAGGAAGATGTAGATTTTGTCCAGTCTATAAAATCGAAATTCAAGTTGTCAACATCAGAAATAAAAGCAGCAATAAAAGAGTGTCGTGAATTTCTAGCGACAGATAACAACAAAAAATTGGCAAAGTATAAATCGAAGAATAGCAAATTCAAGAATATGCCCACCAGATATGAGCTGTCGGTGAGTAGGTTTCAACCACACCACCTTACCGAAGAGAAATTGTGTCAGATAGTTGGATCTCTACAATCGTCTATCAGGAAGGAAATAAAAGCTCCGGAAAACAATATTTCTGATGCTCAACCCAGCTTAATTCCCAGCACAAACGTCCATAGTCCAGCTGAAACAATGCCAGAAGTCAGCAGCGAAAGAGGCGAGCAAAGGAAATCAAAGGCTGATAGGCTATCAGAGCTTAATGACTTAATGGATTCCATTTCCCAGGCCACAAAAGACATGGCTCCGCTGGACACAAGCCCAAAGGTCACTAAAAAGCTTTCTATTCCTAAAGAATTCAACTCGAAAATCCCAACCAGTCAAAGGGGCCATAAGGACATTCGTTCAAAAACTGCAATGGAGGTAGAGTGCCCTTTGGAATCCAAAACAAAGCCCACAATGAATTTGAATGGTCACATCGAATCACGTTTAGAGTCTCCAAATCGGTCTAGCACTCCTTTGGTCTCCAGCGTTCAAGCAGTTACAGAACATAACGGCCATATGGAAGCCAAATCAGATCACAAATCTAAATCAGAGATAACTGTTTCTATTGAAAAGAGTCTAGAAATAGATATTCCTGCCGCATCGACTTTAAAACCATCTAAACACCCAAATAGTGAGACGGATCCAAAAATCCAAATGGAGCAACGAAGCACTGGAGAATATTCAAAGGTTACAACAGAGCTTAATGTTCCTTTGAATTTCCAATCAAAAGCGACTGCAGAACTCGCCAAAGAGAGCCCTGTGAATTTACACTTGACAGAAAAGTCAAACGATATGACAAGTTTGAGTCCAAGTGGCAAAAAAGAGGTCAAAACGCCAGTAGAATCAAGTTCAGATGTAAAATCAGAACTCATAAGTTTTGAAGAATCTTCATCAAATGCTACAAAAATGGCGAATACCCCATTGGAAATAGAATCAAAACCAAGGGATGTGCCTGACGACTCTCTTGAAGCCAGTAGCAAATTTGCAAATGTACCTAAGGTTACAGATATCTTTGAAACAGGATATACTTACACTTATAAGATTGCTTGTGCCAGGAGTACAAATCAAATTTTCATCTGTGGAAATAACAAAGTCATAAAACAGATGAACTCTGCGGGGAAATTTGTAGAGAAAACATCCACTGATACTGGAAATCAACCCTTTGACCTGACACTAACAAGAGACGCCCAACTTATCTTCAGTGACCACAACGGAAAATGCATCAACCTAGTGAAGAATAACGGTAGAATAGAGAGCTTGGTCAAACTGCAAAAATGGTTTCCAATGGCCATTTGCAGCACTTCCGTTGATGACCTGCTGGTTACCATGGAATCGCAGGATCTTGCCACATGCAAAGTAGTTCGATATAGTGGATCCACGGTCAAACAAGAAATTCAGTACGACGTAAGAGGCGAGCAGTTGTACTGCAGAGCTGATTTCATCGATGAAAACAAGAATCTTGATGTTGTCGTATCTGACCTTGGGGCCAGACGTATCGTGGTGGTTGACAAGTATGGTATATTTAGGTTCAATTACACCGGGAATCTCCAGTCAGAGAGGTACAAAAGCTTTGGCTGCTCGGGCGTAACCACAGACACCAAAAGCAACATCATTGTTGCAGATGAATATAACGATGTGTTGCATGTTATTGATCAGAATGGACAGTTTCTCATGTACATAGATAACTGTAAATTACAGCGACCAGGGGATCTCTGTACCGATAGTGATGATGTACTATACGTTACAGAACCTGTTGCCAACAAAGTGAAGAAAATCAAATTTTACAACTAAATGTGTGCAGAACAACATGTACATTAGCCAGAATATTGTGAAGTCAGAATTAACATTTTGTAAGAAAGTTCATGACGTTCGTGGAAGTGAACATTGTTAGAGGAGAAACTTGACAAGCGACAATTACGAATTAAGTAGAATGTTAATGAATCTAAAAAGAAAATAAACCACAATTGCTGTAAGATGTGAACTCAATGACACGCGTTGCTTGTCAAGCAAAATATAAATAGTAAAACCAGGAAATTTGGCAATGTCATCTGCAATGTCGCGACGATAACACATTTTCATATTTCCATTGGTTCTTAGATATTTTCTTATCTATTTCACAGTCGCTTTTCATTCGTCATGTACATTATAACCAGATTTATCGGAAAGACGATCCTGGTGCTTTTTTTATCATGTCTTGAAAATATTCAGGAATCAGATATGTAAAGGATAAGCTATCAACTAATATGATAACGTGCATAATTAAAGTCCATGTCTTAGCAAAAAAATAAGCAGTGGCCATTTTTAAAGGATAAGTGTACTTTGTTGCGTTTTTGGTATGTTGAAATACATGTATCATTCCAGTACATCCATACGTCAATTAGCAATGTTCGTTTCATTGTAATAATGAATAGGACACTTTTTGCAATGTTACATGTATCATTGCATGCATTATGTTTAAATGCTGTGTTTCTTGTAGCCAGAAAAAGGAAATTATTTTTTTTAATAAGACAATAAAAAACAGCATTCATCACTGTCATGTATTTAGTTTTGATAATGAGATTTTGCTTTGAGCGGTCCAATAAAGTTTAACAGAAAGGTTCAAAGGTAATAGTGATTTGTATTAAAACTTATTTAATGCTCGATTTGTCAATAAACAGTATCCCACTTGGATAACAGATATTGCTCCAACAGAAACCCGTCCAGTTAATGTGGTGAAGTACGATTCCATGAATAGCATATAAAAAGTGCTTCTTGAAACATCAGTTTAAAAAATCCCTAAGCAATACCTCCCTCATTAATAACAAAACAAGCTTTGTAATTTCAAATTCAAAATAGACCGTTTCATTTGATTACCAGCAAAATTTAGCAGTGCTGGTTATCAACGGGAAAAAATAATAAATATCCTTACAGGTTTAATGATAAAAATTGCGGTTTTCAATGTGAAAAAAATATATGACTGTGGATGAAATATTTTAATACAATATTGTGTTTTATATCAAATATGGAGATAATGAACAGTATTCAAGGTCGAAGTCCATTTTAATAATACAAATCGGGAGCAGAGCAAAGATTGATAATTAATTAAGATTCCCTTAATTATACAAGTCTACTTAATTATATAGAATCACCAAAAAATGTCAGATTTTTTTTTTTGAATAACCGACGGAGAAAGGTAAAACGAATGTCAACGGAAAATACATAAAGAAAGCTATAATTAGAACAATTAAACATTAAGTTGTGACATTGAAATGAAAATGAATAAATCATGGTTGAATCGAATATTTGCAATGAATTTTTAAAGTATAATAAAAAAAATTGAAATGGTTTTCTTATCTCCACGTTTCTATTTTCGACAAATCAATATCAATGACTAAGTAGTATAAATTATATCATCAGGAGCACACCAAGTGTATATGCCATAAATCAAACTCTTTTTGCTAGCACTTGACGCATCTCCATAATCAAGCATATAAAAAGTTCGCGGTAATTTATGGAATCTAATTTACTACTAACATAACATTTGCAAATTGCAATAGTATGAGTGCTAAACGCCTAAAAATGAAAGATACTACATCTTGTTTGCATTTTAGGAACTTATGGTACTACTTATGTTTGTACTCAATAGGTTATCTTTGCATGGAAAAACTACACATATCCCAGAAACGTTCAAATTAATCAACCATAGGAAAGCTCTAGATCTGAAAGGGCTCTCAGGAAAATCATTCAAAAAAAACTAATATAACTTTGAAGTCATGAACATCTTTTTCCATGGCAGCATCTGAAAAATGATTAGGCTTAATCTATATGTAAATGGTATTGACAAAAGGGTAAAAAAAAAGTTAACAATTGAAGTAACCAATGCACAAATCCAATCAAGTATCTAAAAGTTATTATCTGTACATTCCTCTTTGCCAATCCATCATCTAACTGAGGAATCAGAATCAATATATATACACAAAAGAACTCATACATTTACAAAAAAAATGTTCGTAAGGATGTGAATTAATAAGGATGACATACATGTACGAAATCCTATCAAACAGTGGTCCCCATATGCATAATTCTGATTTATTTTTTTTGGACAAGAAAAAATCCTACCTATTTCAGTTTTGTATTGTCGTGTACAAACTTCTCGGTAAAAAAACCTTACAGTAGTGTAGGATCTACATTGTACCGGGAAAAACTTGAAAATGGGAAGATTTCGATTATTTCTTTGAAATTTTGTAACTTATGATTCTGTATACTTGTATTTCTGTAATCGATAGCTTTTTTCTAAAAAGGCAGGACAGAAATTTTAATCTTTTTATATGCCTTTCTCTATAACCATCCAATATTGGAACTTAATTCAGAAATCTCCGAGAGGAGAAATAACTCTACAAAGAAACTTTACCAGAAAAAAAAACAAACAAACAGTAGATCTCTGAAGTCAGGGACATATATGTAATGACAGCATCTGACAACTGGTCAGGCAAAATCTATCAAAATGATATAAAAGACTCCAAGGTGACATAAATGATAACTTTTTAGCCATACAACAGCGTACACGGAAAATATTGATTTGAACAGATACAAAAAGTGTTCGAGATAAAACAGTAAATCTAGTTTCTATGAAATTAAAGTAAAAGAAAATATTTTTGTATTTTTAAAACCCTGAACATGGTCTCTTTTAATACTTCAGTTCTTTTTCATCTCTACTTTAGGTAAAAATGGAGTGAAACGCTCTCTTTTTCGTCGCAAGACAATCCTGTGACAAATACATATATACAGATGATTTGTACAATCAAATTGGATTTTTCAAATCAGTATACTAGTATATAGATATTATCCAAACTAAACTGGATTCATAAGTTTCGTGAAAATTAGTACAGAAATATATTGCAGTCCAGAAAATGCTCTACCAACCATTTTAAGCTCACCTGAGCTGAAGGCTCAAGTGAGCTTTTCTGATCACATTTTGTCCGGCGTCCGTCCGTCTAGCTGTCCGTCTGTCTGTAAACTTTTCACATTTACATCTCCTTCTCAAGATCCACTGGGCCAATTTCAACCAAACTTGTCAAAAAGTATCCTCGGATGAAGGGGATTCAAGATCGTTAAAATGAAGGGCCACACTCATTTCCAAGGAGAGATAATTAAAAATTAGTGAAAAATTAATGACATCTTTTAAAAATCTTCTCAAGAACCACTGGGCCAGTAGGGATGACACTTACATGTATATGGAAACATCCTCAGGTAGTGTACAATCAAGGTCGTCAAAATCATGACCGCCATAGAAATATCAAGGAAAAGGGTTTTATCACTCATACTTCCCTTTCTACGGAAGAAATTCTTAAAAATCAGATGTCAGTTTTAAATATTTTTAATATTCCACAGAGCCAAAATGAATTTGAACTACCCTATGTATACTGGATTCCGAAACTTCATAAAAATCCCTACAAACAAAGATACATATTGCGGGTTCCAGTAAATGTTCAACCAAGTCTCTTTCGTTACTCTTCACCAAGATCTTGACAGTAGTGAAGGAAAAACTTCAAGAGTACTGTGCAACAATATATTCAAGAAGTGGAGAGAATAAGATGTGGATACTCAAAAATTCTAAAGAACTTTTGGACAATTTGAAATCACAAGATTTTACCAAAATCAATAGCTTAAAAACTTATGACTTTTCAACTTTATACATAACCATTCCCCACGACGAATTAAAGTCCGGGGTTTTTGATATCATTGACAGCTGCTTTTTTGATAAAAATGAAACTCGTAAATTTACTTACCTAGTCATTGGTCATTTGCAAAATTATTTTGTTAAAACACATTCTGATTGCACACACAAGTACTCTGAAGTTGACATCAAAGAGATGCATGAGTTTCTGATTGACAATATCTATGTGGTTTTTGGAGACCAAGTATTCCAACAATCTATTGGAATTACCATAGTTACCAATTGCGCTCCGTTATTAGCAGACCTAATTTTGTATTCATCTGAAACATAATTTGTGCACAATCTTATGCGTGAAAAGAAGAAAACACTTGCTGTGGCCTTCTACTCGATATTTAGTTATATCGACGACGTATTGTCAATTAACAATGGTAATTTCCATTCCTACGTCGATACGATATATCCTGGTGAGCTTGAGATAAAAGATACCACAAAGTCTGACATATCTGTTTCACATTTGGATATTTTACTTGAAAAGACGTTAGTGGTAATCTAACAACCAAGGTATATGATAAACGTGATGACTTTAACATTTCTATCGTCAGCTTCCCTTACTTATGCAGCAATATTCATCTTCTGCATACGGAGTGTATATATCTCAGTTGATTCGATACGCAAGAGCATGCTATGCGTATGAACAATATCTAAAATGAGGTAAATTATTGCCAAGCAAGTTGATGAAACAAGAATATCAGCAGTTTCGTTTAAAGTCGTCATTTTCTAAGTTCTATGGTCGATACAATGACCTTGTCAGCAATACAATTTATCATTGAGTCAAATGCTGACTGGCGTTTTTCATACTAATTGTTAGTCCATTATTAATACACTGAATTGACGACGGATTTTTTCCCGTTATTTCCCAATCATGACAAGGAGCACACGGCGGGTGTGACTGCATGGTCAGCAGGGGATGCTAGCTCCTCCATGGCACCTGATCCCACCTCTGATGTTTCGGAGGTCCGTGTTTGCTCTGCACCTATTTTGTATTGTTTTATGGACTTTCATATTGAATATTTTTCGTTATCTCCAAT